ACTGGGCGATTGGGGGTCGATGCATCCCCCCCTGAGCTCATGCCCCCCCCCCCCCTCCCCCCAACGCTGCCTCTCTGACAGTCTCTCGACGCCCCCCCCCCCCCCTCCTCTCGGCGGTGGACAGACCTCCCTTTAGTAAACCTCCCCCTAGTGTAAACGGCCTGGGACCGAAACCGACGGACCTGGACCCGCAAAAATGACGGCCGCGGCGCCCTCTCGCGAATCGAAGACGGCCAATTTGCTAATCTTTGTGTCAGGGTAGGAGGTCTGCCCACCTGGCAGTCTCTCGACGCCCTCCCCCTCCCCCTCGCAGACGACGTCAGGGCCTCCACCATCTGCTTGAAGTACCATGCGGAGCGCGCCTGGCAGCCGCGCGCCCGCCGACCAGCGTCCGGGCGAGGGAGCGCTGCTTCTGGCTTTGGGGCCGTAACTCTGGCCTCTGGCGGCCGTTCGGGACGCTTCAGGCACCCTCGGAACGCTCTCGCCGAGGCGCAGCTGCTGGAACGCATCCCAAGGCTGGAAGACCGCCGAGAATCTAGGAACCCGCGGGACAACTTAGAAACTCGAACTGGGACTGCCCTCCCCCTCTGGGCGCGCCGCCAATCCAGACTCCAGGGCCCCCAGACTGATCGTTCCCTCCTCGTCTTCCTCGTCCTCCCGCTCCTCCTCCTCCTCCTCCTCCTCCTCCTCCTCCTCCTCATCATCATCATCATCATCATCATCATCATCGTCATCAGCATCATCAGCATCATTCAGCAGCATCATCAACAACGACGACAACATCACTATAAACATCAGCATCAATGATCATCATAACAGTGAGCATCATCACCATCACCATCACCATCACCAGCATCACCAGCATCATCATCAGCATCATCAGCATCAGTATCATCATCATCATCAGCATCATCATCATCATCATGATCATGATCATCATCATGAGCAGCATAAGCCATCATCGTCATCATCATCAGCATCATCAGCATGATCATCATCACAATCACCATCACCATCAGCAACAGCATGAGCATCATAATCATAAGCAGCATCAGCAGCAGCAGGAGCAGCAGCATCGTCATCGTCGTCATCGGCATCGTCATCGTCGTCATCACCATCACCACCATCAACAACAACGATCATCACCACCACAACTACCATCGTCACCATGACCACCACACCCATCATCATCATCATCATCATCATCAGCATCATCATCATCATCACAACCACCACCACAATCACCACGATCATCACCACCACTAATTACCACCATCATCATAGACATCATCATCACCACCATCATCACCACAACCATCACCAGCACCATGATCATCATCACCACCACCACTAACATCATCATCATCATCATCATCATCATCATCATCATTATCAGTACCACCATCAACAACATAATCAAATCAGCATCAGCATCATCATGATCATCATCATGGTTATCAAGATCATAATCATGATCATGATCATGATCATGATCATGATCATCATCATCATCATCATCATCATCATCATCACCATCATCACCATCATCATCCACATCATCGTCCTCCTCCTCCTCCTCCTGTATACGCTTTCGTTCGATGGCCGCTCTATCCAAACGGGGGGGTCCTGCGCGCCATGGGACGATGGGGCGGAGGCCTGCCCCAGGCCTCGAGCGACAGGTTGCCGCACTAGGCGGGCGATGGGGCTTGAGTATCAGAGTCCTGCTGCGGGTTCGTATTGTGCCGACTTCGACGTTGGTTCGTGACACCGCGGGGACCGTTCAACCTTGAACGACCGGCCGTTTCCGAAACGCCAGAACGGTCAGCATCGACCGATTCTGGGTCGCCAGCGAAGCTCAACGTTGCACGCCCGCGGCCGGATCGCCGCCGGTCGACACGACGCGAACCTACCGTCGTAGTGTGGCCCTCGATGGGGCAGGACTCAACGTGAAAGCCTCAGAGGTCGAAGTGCGCCGTCACCGCCCAGCGGGCAAAATCCAGTCAGGCTTGGCCAGGCATCCTCGCTCGCAGCCATCGATTGCCACTCCCCTGGGCCGCCTCGGTGTCACACGAGGCGCGCGAGAGGCTGGGATCCAGAGGGCTGGGCCGCAGCCCGTCACGGGCGCGCGGCGAGGTGATGAGATCCCCGTGCCGTCGGCGCTCGTGGACCGCAGGGTGGCGAGGTCGGGGGCGGCCCAGACGACCAGCGAAGCTTCCGCACGGAAGGAGCCACGGAGACTGCCTGAAAATACGTTCACGCAGATACGCAACAACAAACATACGCGCTTGCACGTGCCTCAGCTCTCTGCGAGTGGTTGCCGTCAGCAGAGGTTACGATCAGGTCGGGTATGTCGCCCTTCAGGCGGATTTGGGACGATACATACAAATACCCAAAAATGTTCCCCAAATACTCGAAAATCATTAGAAAATAGTCCCCAGACTATTTGTGTTACTGTTTTTGAATTTTCCCCCTGTAGAGGGACAGGCCCGACGTAAGGCTACGAGACGGGGGAGATAGGGGCGCCGGCGAGGACAGAGCGGTCGAGCCCTGGCTCCGAGGGCTCCCCGCCTACCAGTTTGCCTGGCAACCTCTCGCCTCGGCGCGCCCCAACTTAGCTAAACCGATTCACGCCGTAATCGGAGCTCGCGCCACCCAGGGAACACCTCATCCATCTGGCCGCACGGAAGCTGGTCGCTCACGCCCTGGCTCTGCCTGTCGCGGCCCGGGGCAGGATTTTGACGAAGGGCGGTAGCCTTAGCGGACCCCTGGCTGATCACTCGTTTCCAAAGTGAGCTCGCGGCGCACAAACCTGAACGCTGTGAGCGAGAACCTTGTTCGATGTATGATGGTAGAGTCAGCTGCCCTCCGCAACCTGTGCCATCAGCCCGAACGTTCAGCCCTACCACCCTATGGCAGGGCGCCGGTGGATTCGGGCTGGAAGACAGCATTGTCACTTTCTGCACCCTGTCTCGTTCCATTTCCCCCCTCTCCTTCTATTGTCCACCTTTCCCCACACAGGAGGACGCTGTACCACGCAGTCGCGACCAGCGGCTCGGTAAGAGACATCGCAGATCCCGAATGACAGCATGGTCTTCGCATGGAGCCGTGTCCAGGTCGAGGGGAGAGACCCAGGGGAGAGAGGGCCAACCGAAACTCCGAGCATCGCCTCTCCAGGGAAGCCGGGGGCCGGAACGCGTGGGCGGTTGGCCCCCGCCACTGCTTCCACAAAGGAGCCCTGGGGCGGCGCCGGAGGCGCCGCCAGGGGGGGCCAGGCGCCGCTCCAAGAAATCCGCTGCGGACCTCCGAGAACTGTGCAGGGGCCAGCCAAGACGGCGTTTTGCACGTGCGTTTCGTGTTCGCTCTGAGGCGTCGTGACACGCAAGCGGTCCGGCCGATGGTCCACAACAGCGTTTCGGCGCAAGTCCAAAGTCACGATGGGCCAATGGTGGGCCCCAGAAAGAAAGCAAAACGAGAACTAAGAGACAGCGAAAACGATCCACAATCTTGCAAAAACAACGTTTTGGTCGACCCATCGAACTTGGGGGTAGGCCGTGTTTTGTTTTTCGAACCGCCCTGGGTTGTGGTTTTCCTCTACAATGTCCTCTCCTATCAGGACTTCTACTTCCACATTGTGCAAGCGCTCCGGCACTCACGCACAAGAACTCCATGTTCTGAGTGTGCTCTTCCCGCTCCGCCTCCTCCCGCCGCCCGCAGTGTCCACTTCGGCCACGTGCATCTGCATCTCACGTCTGCCCGAGAACGCGGCTAGGATTCTTGCCAGTCCGGCAAGAGAAAATTATGTTATTATTTTCCTTTCATCGGAGGGAGGTAAAGGTGGGGCAGGGGGGCAGCGGTGGGGCTGGTGGAAGATGGCTCCCAACAGCCCCTCGAAGGAGGAAATGCGAGCATCCAACTTGGTACCTCCCCCAGCCGCACCTTGGGATACCCGTAATGACTTTCTTCATAGACTCAACGCTGATGTACAGTGCTCACCGTGCTGCTGTACAGGGTGAAGAAACATGTTCCTAAATTAGAGGCCTCATGGATGGGGTCCGAGTGGATGGGGTCGGAGGATCGCGCCGCATCGCCGATGCATCGCCGATGCACCGTCGACGTCGGCAGTGCATCGGCGACGTCGGCGTGGAGAAAATCGGGCTCCGCATCTAGCCGCATCGGCGATGCATCGGCGATGCGGCGCGATCCTCCGACCCCGTCTACGCGGACCCCATCTGGGAGGCCTAGAGAGCTGCTACCGACATGCACCACCTCCTCCTCCTCCTCCTCCGAACCCATCCAGAAGCCCAGGTCCATGGTCCTCGCCCAGAAGGGTCACACGTCCGGGCGACGCCAGGAGCCTCCCTGCACGCAGAACGGCGGGGCGCGCGGGGGCCCGCCTCGGAGAAGGTGCCGCGGCTCTGCAGCAGCGCGTACAGCTCCCCGCCTCCGCGCGGCTCTCGCTGGTGTTGGCCGAGGGTCGGCGGCGAGCGAGGGAGAGTGATGATGATGATGATGCTGCTGATGCTGCTGCTGATGATGATGATGGTGGTGGTGGTGGTGGTGGTGATGGTGCTGATGATGGTGATGGTGCTGATGATGGTGATGCTGATGATGTTGACGATGGTGATGGTGATGGTGATAAGTATAATGACAGTGATGGTAGTGATGATACTGATGATGATGATGATGATGATGATGATGATGATGATGATGATGATGATGATGATGATGATGATGATGACGGTGATGGCCTTCAGTGGAGCTCCTTATGGGGCAACAAAACGCGCGCCTGGATTGCCGACGTGGGCAGTCGAACAACATGCGGGCGAGGCCCCTGGGGTTTATCAACGCACTGGCGGAGAGGTCAGAATATTCAAATCCAAACCACATGCCCTGGAAAGAGCTTCTCTAGGCACACACCGTAACAGTCTGGAGAGCCAATGCGTGCCAATCAAGCAGAAACCGATTCGCTCAAATTGTTCCCCCTGGGTCCGCCGTGGGAAAATAAGAAAGCTCAGGCACGGGGGGAGGGAGGGAGGAGGAGGAGGAGGAAGAGGATGGAGGAGGGGGAGGAGGAGGAGGAGGAACAAGAAGAAGAGGCAGAGGAGGAGGGACAACGACCACATACGAAAAGCCCCGGGGAGGTGATGCTATCGCCGCTTTCTGCCAGGCGCGTATGCTCACTTCTTCTTGTCGAACATCGCAGCCTGTAGCCTCGCCGCAGCCTTCTTCACATCACCAGTAGCGTCGAGCTTCTCCTTCTTGCTTGTCGCCTTCTCGAGCTTCGCGGTGGCCTCCTCCATCTCCTTCTTGGCGGCCTCCGCGTCGATCGTGTCCACGGTCTCGAAGTCGTTCACCAGGATGGAGAGGGAATTCGAGTCCACGGAGGCGAAGCCGCCCATGACGACCAGCGGCATCCACTTGCCGTTCTGCTTGTAGCGGATCACGCCCGTGTCCAGGGCGGTCATCATCGGGGCATGGTTGGCGAGGACGCCCAGCTGGCCGCTGGCGCTGGGGAGCACCACCTCGCTCACGGCCAGGTCGATGCCCGCGCCCTCGGGGGACTGAAGCTTCATCTTGATCCTGTCTGTCGCCACTGCTGCCTTGTCCTCGGCGAGGCGGGTCACCGGGCTGCGGAATGCCCTGGCCGGGCGCCCCCCCGATGAGCCCACGAAGGCGGGCAGGCGGCGGGCGAGCAGGGCCGCCGCGGCGAGCGCCAGGAGCCGGCACGCGGCCTGCGGCCTCGCCATCTCTTTTATGCCTGGGTGCTGGCACGCAGGCAGGCCGAGGGCAAAAACTGAAGGCAGGCCGGGGCCGAGTCTGCCTTGAGCCATAATGATGACGAGAATGAAGATGACGATAATCACGATAGTGATGATGACGATAATGATGATGACGATAATGATGATGCTGATGATGATGATGCTGATGATGATGGTGATGATGATGATGGTGATGACGATGATGATTCAGTGCAACAGTGAACACAATCTTGAGAGAATCCTCGACAGCTGGCCAAGCCCGACCGCTTCCCGCGGCGCCTCGCACGAAGCGGCAGACCGCGCCATGGAGAATGGGCACAAGCGAGGGTCAGCGTAGCGCAGGCGGAAGGCACTGATCATATAGGCCACGACCATTCGCCGCGGCATGCCTGGAACCCCCAGCCTCGGGCGGCATGCCTTGGAAACGGCTCGCCTGGGGATCGTGTCTCGATCGGCTGGTGGGGATACGCGGATCGGCAGAACTTACAAACAATTCGCCGGCCCAACGGGCCAGGGCGTGCTAAGATCTCCGGTAACTGGTTAACAGTATTAACAGTATTTCTAGTTCGCGCGCGCGGGGCGGCCCCTGGGGGTCCCCCGGCGAAAAGTACCCCGACCAACGCCCGGTCGCCGCCCGACCGCCGCCCGACCGCCGCCCGACCAAGTCTACTCAGAGATGGTTTTCCTTCTGGGTGCGGCCTCTCAGGCTCCCCAGAGCGCGCTCAGAGTGCCCCAAGAGGCCCCCAAGACTGCCCAAGAGGCCCCCGAGACGCCCAAAGAGCGCTCGAAGACGCCGAAGATGACCCCAAGACGGCCCAAAAGGCCCCCAAGACAGCCCAAGAGGCCTCCAAGACGCCCCAAGAGCCTTCCAAGAGGCCTCCGAAGAGAGCCCCAAGAGGCCAAAATCGTTGATTTTCATTGGTTTTTTCGATGTTTTTTGTGTTCTGGCTTTTTCGGCTTCCGGACGCTCCAAGACGGCCCAAGAGGCCCCCAAGACCGCTCCAAGACGGCCCACGAAGCTCCCAAGACGGCGCCGAAACGACCCAAGAGAGCCCTCAAGACGGCCCAAGTGCCGCCCAAGACGGACCAAGAGGCCCCAAGACGGGCCCAAGAGGGACTCAGGAGGGATACCGAGAACTCAAAAATGGAGCCCTCCGTCCCAGAAGGCGCCCAGGAGGTCCCAAAGAGGCCCCAAGAGGCCTCCAAGAGGCCCCAAGATGTCGCCAAGAGGCCCCAGGAGACTCCCAGGAGGCCCAAAAGAAGCCCCAGAAGGCTTCAAACATGTCTCCCAGGCGCCCCCGAACGGCCTCTCAACAGACCCCAAGAGGCCCCCCAAAGAAGCATCTTGACGACGACTCTATTTCGCCCCATCGAGAGACGACCCCCAGGGAACTGCTTCACCATCAAAACTCCCCACGCAACGCGTCCGAACGACACCCGCCCCCAAGAGCGCAACATGGGCAACGAACACACAGACAAAAACCAGCGATGCCATATCACGGGCCGGCGGAATGAGCGAAGCGATTCAATAACTAACACATGTTTTGCAATAACCGTGCTCACAGCCAACAAAAAACATGTCGGTGTAACTCGAGCTGTTTGCCTACGCGACGACATTGGTAAGTAGTGCCTAGCTGCTTGCTTCCTGCAATGAACGACAAAACAAGCAATCCGCATAAAGCCTGGTGCCATCTCAAGCATCAAGTAGACCCGCTTCTCATCGTGGAAGAAGCTGTACAGCCTTTTAAAGGGGTCGCGCTTGGACAGTGTGAGATCCCAGGGTACATGCAGATCGCTTGACCATGGCAGCTGGCACAACCCGGCGGAGAATGGAAGCCACGGCAAGTGCTGAGAAATGGTGTTGCGCTCCGCGATGTCATTTCGTGAATGCAATATTAAGTTCCTCCTACTTTCCCTTGCATCGGTTCGCCTACCTCACAGGTCCCGCCCAATGTCTTTCATGGTCAGCCTGCGTGTTCCAAGCCGTATTAGCCATAATCTGATCGCACTGCAACCCTGTTCGAACAAATGCATACACTTGCGAGCACACTATGCCGACAGCCTATGATAAGACCCAGCTGCGGCCGCCCCTGCTAAATTGCTGTGCTGATGCTGATGGTTTTCTTCTGTCCGCTGGTGAAACCAGGCTGTGGCCCCCGCTGCTGGTGACATTCGCCTTCTGTCCTCAGGCCGCGTGCCACTTGAGATATCCAAACTCGGCAGCATGCAACCGTGGGGGGAGGAGGGTGAAGGAGCACACCATTTTCCCATTTGGGCGCCGTGGTGACGCAATCGCGGATTGTATGGATGCATGGTTGCGAGTAGAGGAAACCACGAATGGCTGCGAACCTTCGTCTTCAACCGCGAATAAAATAATAGACTCCCAAATCCGGGGCTGTCTAGGCAAGCCGGCATGCAATCCGCGGACACACACGCATGCACACACACACATGCACTTGTTTAACAATCGCGACCTCGCGCGCCGCGACGAGGCGGAGACAGTCGGTCAGAGCAAGACGAGAGTGCGAGCACACGCACACACATACACGAATACACACACGCATAAACACGTGAATTTCGCTCGTTCGGCTCGCAAACATAAGCGGCGCCCGGTGGTGCTGCCTCAGGATGTTCACCTCCACTTCCCCTGCTCCTCTACAAGATGGTTTCACATAAGAAATCAAACAAAAAGTGCGGACGTCACATATGGGCACATGGATGCTGCATGAAATTGAGTCGTATCACAGGTTGCAAATCAGCTGATGGGAGGTTGAGAACATGACAGGCGTCCTCCACCCCCGCCTATTCTAAAAGTGTCTCTGTTCGGGTGTCCAAGCTCGTGCTTCCTCTTGCTTCTGGCGCTCTGCCTTCTTCAACAATATGTCATGAATAGTTGCCTCCTCAAACGTCAACGTCGTACTTCCAACCACGTCAATCATCAAACCTCCCTTCCAACATGCCCTCTTTATCCCCCCATGCGAAACGCACATAATAATCAGAATGTGGCTCTAAATGTTTGACATGTGCTCCGGCCATAGAGCGTGCGCGAGAGCGTTTGGGGCGCGCTCCCCAAACGACTCCGCAAACTCTATATCCAAAAACGTGTTCCGCTGAATGCTGGAATGGCCCAGTGGGGCGAAATCCGCATTCCCGTCTGCCAGCAGCGCTGCAGCCCAAGATCATCCATCCCACCAATTGAATGGACTGGGCCTTGCGAAAGCCAGGTCGGCCGAATCGGAACCGCATTCGTCGTCAAACAACACGACATGATTTGCGAGGAAAGGTTCGCCGTAGACAAATAAGGCCCTGCTGTCGCCAAGTGACGTGCAAAGAATGGTTTGTTTCATGATCCGTCGAAACATGCAAAAATCGTCCGTTGTCGCCACATCGTCGCTCAGTTCAGCCGCATTTCGCTTCAGTCATCACTATGGCTAGTGTGGGTTGCTTCGCTTGAAAGAGAATAATTGGACCTACATTGCCTTGGCGTTTGCCAGTTCTTAACGTTGCTCGAATTTGAACGAGCAGTTTCAAGGCATGACTGCCAATAGCCAAATACGCGGCACAGAGATGTCGAGCAGCCGGGTGGTGATGGCGGAGACAAGGGTCCTTTTCTCCTGCAAACACCGCACATCAAGCGCAGGCAACGCCGCCTACACTTGCAGATAGGGCGGCGCTGTCTTGAAGCAAGACGGCGGTGGTATCAGACAAACTGATGCCACTCCTTCGGGACAAACCCACAAAACCGAAGGGGGATGGCGAGGCTGACCGCTGCGGCCCTTGAGTAGACTCAAGGCAACCGCAAAATGTCCGCCTAAAACGGCTACTTCAGATGCAACCAGGCACGGGCCAGGAAGCAAATACGAAGTGCGAGGTACTGGGACATCTCTCCATGGGCCATTGCACTTAGCACCTACATGTAACAGAGCAACAGCTAAGCTGAGCAAATACAGTTTATGCTGGGAAAACCTGAAGGCAGCCCAACAAGCCCTGGAGAATGCTGGCGGCGTTGGCCCCACATTGGCACACTTATTGTTGCCTTCGCGCGACCACGAGGCTGAAGCCAACCAACATCAAGCAACCATATAAGCACTCGGGAAAGAAAGACTGCCTGGAGGAGAGCGGAGACACGCTCATTTCCTGGCCGCCGTATGTCCACGACATAAATCAAGCAAGAAGAGCGCGGTCGCGCGCTCACTCTGCGCCGTCGCGATTCCACGACAGCTCGGAGCGGGGCCAGACAGAAAGCCCCCCACACCACCACGGCCACCACCACGCGCACGCCCATGCAACTGTTGACAGCGCCAAAGGGCCCCGCAAGGCGTTTGACCAGCAGCGTTGTCGCGCATTGGCAACCGGATGTTTGCCACAATATGGTGCATTTGGCTTAACTTCGCGCGCGCGGCCCCGGCGTCCGGTCATAACTTGTAACCGCCAGTCCTCATCGATAGCCTCTAGCATGACCCGCTGCCGTCAAATCGCGGGCGCCAGACCATTGGACATTGTCTATGATGCCGAATTCCAGCAATGTCCTCTCGGAAAATATTTTCAGCGGCGTGAGATCTGAACGCGGGTTCGGCGTCGATCGCGAGGGGCACCCACATGCAGAGCGCACGTTGCTCGCGAAGCTGTCGGGGCCCAGACGGGGCCAGGGGCCAGGGGGCCCGCGACGAGCTCGCGTAGCGCCGCGAAGGTCGGAAGGCATTCGCCCAGACTGTGGGCCGCAGCTAATGCTTCGGCAGCACAGCAAGACCGAACCCGGAAGCGATGATATTCACACAGGATGCCGATGCAATCGATAAGTTAGCCCGCGCTGCCCGCGATTCCAAGGCGCTGCGCCCCCGAAGACCGTGACCTTCTGTTTCGCGGTCCTCTCCAGGGAGCTCGGTAGCCCGAATCGCTGCGTAGATCGATTTTGCCACAAGGAGTCTTGGCTTGACCAATGGTATTCTAAGGGTCTTGTAGAAGCATGCGCGCATAGGCGTTGAGCCACCCCCCCCATCGATGTTCGCTGGTTGTTGAACGCGCTGCAGCGATGCAGCGCGCGCCGCAATGCAGACTTGGACCAGCGCCGGGCAGGCGAGAGCTCCCCGCAGACTGACGAACATATCGCCGACAACATTTACTCGCCAGCGCTGCCGGTAAAGCTCCGACAAAATCGGGGCGGGTGATCGGGCGCAGCTGTTTCGCATATTCATTGGTCCATGACCGCGACGCAGTGGTCGGTCTTGGTGCACCTGGCAACGCTGTATGTATGTATGCTTGAGTAACACGCAGGTGCCAAATACTTTTATTACTCTGCGCACGTAAAAGTCAATGGGTTTCTCCTTACCGCGCGTGCTGATGCCACTCGCGCGTTCGGCATTAGCAGGTCCGGTGCTACCTCAACTTCTGGATATGACATTGATCTTCGGCCAATATGTCCGATCGTCCATGAGAGATTATTGGGGAAGGCTCGCGGTGCGTCTTTGGTTCCACCGCCCTGGTTCAGGCCCCCAAGGCAGCGCTGGGCCTCGCCGTTGTCATCAAACCTGGGCAGCGGTGCACCCCCAAGGGGCGACGCGAGACGCGCTGCACGTCTTTGCTTCCCCGCGGCCTCGGCGAGTTTCTCATCAGTAAGTCCGCGAAGGAACGCCTGATCAGCGTCCAAACTTGCCGAGGTCCAGTCTTCATGGCAAGCGGTCCCACTCGCTAGCAGTCGTTGCGAGGCACGTTTGGCCGTTCCCGAAAATCCGCCCCCTGATCCATGGAACCTCTCAGGGCGAGTCGCAGTCGAGTAATGTTCTCGGTCTGGCCGCTGCCGCTCTGGATGAGTTTCCACTTGTAGACGCAAGGCGGCGCCATCACGTTCTGGGCCTTTCATGCGATTTCTTTCGCGAAACATCTGCTCTCTAGCCATGCCTGAGACTCGGCTAAGAGAGCGTTTGACACTTGCTGGGGATGACTATCACTATCTTGTTTCGCAAATAAATCAACCTCTTTTACTGCCAGAATCTACCGCGATATACGCTCGCACGGTTGCTACGCCGCCAGCATGGAGATACGCTGTAATTCGCTGGCTAAGCATAATTCGGCACATTTGCCGCGGGTGTCGGCGTCGACATCGCAGTCGCGGTCAGATGGGCCACACGTCGCCGCGTTGCTGGTCACGGTGCGATCGCCCGACCGTTGGGTACATAACATCACGCCACGGCGACTGCGACCACCAAGATTGACGGCTTCCGCCTGCAACATGCGGCCACCACGCGCGCGCGACGCCAGACCGGCGTTGGCCGGCAAGAGAAGACAACATAGAGGCGCTGAACTTGTTCAGTCTACAGGAACTCTTCGATGCGCTGGTGGTCGGCTCTTGGTACCAGTTGCGCACCATCATCGCGCCCGTCTCCTCGCTGTCTCCTCCTTCGATAGTGGGGAGCTGCCCGGCGGCTCTTTCGGGCACCATGGGCGTCTCAGGGAGGCCCGCGTCTCCGCGCTTGCCCCGCGCCAAGGTCCGTCGGCCAAGTCCAGAAATGTCGAACGCCCCTCGCCGGGCGCGTAGGTCTTCAAGAGACCAGGCGCTGCATCTGTCGAGCAGGGCGGGTGCCTGAAATGTTTGGGCCGTTGATGCTTGGCTCGCGGAATCGAAAACCAGGTTGGGCGTCGCTAGCGTCACGTATCACTGCAACTCGACCAGAACTTTTGCAAGACGGTAAGGCGTGAACGCTTCTGGCGAGCCTGATAACCGCGACACTCTCGATCCGGGGG